AAAAAAGAAGCAAGATATATCCTGTAAGTTATAAATTCCCTATGACACATGTTATCACTGTATATACATCTATATACATATATATATATATATATATATATATATATAATGTACCAATAAAATAAAAATAAAAGGCTGGTGCAGGAAAAGGAACATAAAGAATCAAAACAGCTCATCTTAGGGTGAGCCAAGCACTGAGACACAATCATCCATGCCCATCACCAACATGCCAAGTACATCACTGACATCCAACCACCAGTACAGGGCCCACATTCAAGGATTTTGCAACATTAAAAAAGGAATTTTTTCTGTAAATATTTTCATCACAAGATTCAATCGATCAAATTGATACATACAAAAAGATCAGTTTGCTTCAAACATATTGCAGTTGTTAGAGTACTACCAAACTAAACAAATCCTGAAGCATTAAACTTCTGAGCTTCTTTAAATTAGAAAATTACACTATCATTTGATACTTTTACTGGAAATGTTTCTTGTACTCTAAAGGAAAGGTTAACACAAACAAAATGATATGCAGGTTGAGTGCCCTTCATTTGAAACGCCTGGTGCAAATGCTGTCTCAAGTTTTAGAGCCTTCTTGATAAGAGAATATTTGCATAACATTCACTGGATAAGCATCTTTACTCAAAAATCTCAAGGTCTGGGATACTTCACCTGCATTTCTCTACTGCTGTAGCTGGAGATAATTTATTACAAAATCAGCATCCTTAAGTGATTTAAATAATTTTTCTAGAAACCTTATTGCTAATTTTCTAAAAATAACAAATAACTAAATTTCTGAATGTATGAAGCACTTCTCGTATCATATTTTTTCACAATAACAGAAGGCAGGTTAGGATCAGATGTGTAATTGTTGGTCTTCAGAATCATGTACTATGCCTTATAATTATTCTATCCATTACTGCCACTGGCACAGCACTAAGCATTCATGTAGTATGCAGGCTGCAAATATTACTAGACTAAATTGGAGATAATAGTCCCCAAAATCTTACAGGTTATCAAAAGGTTTTAAAAACTTTAAATGACAAGGTGCATTATATGAACTGGAAAATTTAAATATTCTTAAAAGCAACAGTCAAAGTGAGTGATTTGCCCTCACTAAGCTTTGGAACTTTGAGTACGCAAAGATGAGGGACAAGTGTGGTGAGATAAGGACAATTAAAACATATTCAGAGGACAAACAAGCGTATTTTTTTTAAAAGAGAGAAAACATTTGCATTATATTAGAGCAAGACTGTGAGTGAAGTAGGGCCAAATTGTGGAAACGTGATGAATGTTAAAACTGATTCATTCACTCAGTACTGTAAGTGTTCAACACCAGTCACTGCTGAAATTGTGAACAAAAGACATATAGTCTTTTTATTAATTAATTTATTGGCACATTTTAGGTATAATGATCATATTTATCATAGGGAATTTGTATCTGTACATAATATAATTTGATTCTTCTTTTCATCCCATTCCCTTCCCTTCCGTTCAACCCTTCTTCTCCTTCTTATTTACAAAAGCTTTTTTCCATTTTTCTGCTTTTCTCTTTTTTTTTTCTTTTCTCTGTCTTCCTCTCCCACTCCACAGTTCCTCTTCCCATTTGAACTTTTTCTCATTTAACAATATCTATTATATTTTGGTCCTTATTTACACTTTCAGTATCTCACACAGAGAAACAATGCAACATTTATACATATGTCCAATTTGTTTCACTTAAAAGTATGATCTCAAGGTGCATCCATTTACCTAGAAATATCTCTTATCCTTCTCTATGGCTGAGTAGTACTCTATGTATTGAAAAAAATCTTTATCCCTTCATTGGTTGATGGGCATTTGGGCTGTTTCCAAGATTTAGCTATTATCAACTGTGCTGCAATAAACATGGGTATGCATGGTGCTGTTGTATGATGCCTTTAATTTGAGGGGGAAGATACCAAGAAGAGGCATAGCTTGGTTGAATGGAACTTTTAGTTTTAGTTTTTTGAGGAATCTCCATGCTTATTTCCACAGTAGCTGCAGCAGTTTACACACAACAGGGCTCACATGTAATAAGTTCACACACAAAGGAGAAGGGTTCTCTTTTCCTACAGCCTCACCAGCATTCTTCACTGGTTCATTGCTTGGTAATAGTCATTCTTTCTGGAGTGAGATGAAATCTAAGTGTGTAATCTTTGACTTTGTAAAGGTTTTAGCCTAGCAGGATAGATCAGCTTTCATCAAACAAACCCCACAACCAAGTATACAAACTACAAACTGTGGTTCACCTCACGAAAAGGAAGCACCATGTGTTATAAGATGGACAAGAGGAAACTGGGTCAGTGAGAGAAGCAAAGGGAGATTCTCTCCCCGAGAGGTTACATTTAGCCAAGGAGGGTGCAGGGACGAATGGGAGGAGGAGAGCATTGCATGAGATGACAAATAGCTTCATCAAAGATCCAGGGAAGCAAAGCAGCAGGAAAGTGTGAGCTCAGGGAAGGGGCCAGCTCTTTCCAGCCATGAAGGCAATGCTGAAGATGGAGGTCTTTTTCTTAGAAGCAAGAGAGCTATTTAACCAGAGAGCAACAATAGTTTGTGTTTTTACCATTACTCAGTCTGCAATGTGAGATGGTTGGAGACAGACAGAAAAGGATGAGAGATCATTGGAAAGTTAGTTAGGTTTTTCAAGTGAGCAACAATGATGACCAGGTGTTGGGGGAGGGGTAGTAGAAGGAAAGAGATAGATGGTACCAGTATTTAGGAGATAAATCAACATAACTTGGAGGTAGGTTAGGCTTGAGAGGTGAAGGAAAGAGGGACGTTAAAGACAAAAGAGCTCCCTCGTTGCCTAGCTTAAGCAGCAATGGAGGCACTTCCTGAGAGCTGGAATCAGTTTGGTTTTCAGACACACTGAGTTAAGGAGCATGGGAAGAAACACCCATAAGAATGAATGAAATGGATAGTTGCGTGCATGAATTTCAAGTCAGGGGACAGACTAGAGTGGGGTAAAACCTGACGGAGCATATTATACAGGAGGCTGCAGGTGAACCTTCCCGTAGGAAGAATCTGGAGGAGAGAAACACATCCACCTTGCTCTCTAATGTGCCTGGCCAGAAAATATTATGAAGCTCAACAAATACATTTTCAATAAATAAGCAAACAGATTCATTCATGAAGATCAGGATACTTGCTAGGCAATGATGGTACAGAAATGAAAGTTTCTCTCTATCTATGTAATCTTGGCTGGGATCAATACAATGACATTTAAAAGAATGAGACAGACTTTGGAGAAATTCACACAAGAAGGATGAGCCATCTGTCTTGTAATAAATCATTGAAGTGGGGACTTAACAAGAAAGCTTCTACATTAAAATGAAATCATCCTAATTATAGTATTCCATAGTATTTGTCACCTGACACTGTTATTTTTATCATTAATGGTAATACCTAAATAGCATTTTACAAAGAACTTGCATATTGATTATCATATCTCATAGTAAACTTTCATACAACTCTGAAACACTGTTGTTCTGTGCTCTCCATGCATATCCTACTTCAGTGACCTTTAAAATTTTAACTCTAGTACTTATATTTTTATAGGAGTTAAAATTTTAAACAGCTATTCTTTTCTCATGCCTTCCAAGACAAATTGTACTGTACATTTATACTTCAATCATGTTGAAACAGTCTATGTTTAAAAGTCACATGTCAGGAAGCCATTATTGTCAGTAGTGTGTTGAGAAAATTTATCCAGTAGGTAAAAGAGTATATATATATATATATATATATATATATTAGTATATATACATATATACAGAGAAGATTGATTGATATGATAGGTTGCAGATGACAGATAGATAGATATAGATAGACAGATAGATAGATAGATGATAGATAGATGATAGATAGATAGATACATAGATAGATAGATAGATAGATAGATAGATAGATAGATAGATAGATGACCTGCATTCTAGCTCCAGTACTGATCTTACTAGCTTCCTGCACCTCTGACAAGTCAATGGGCTTCTTTCTCCATCCCTGAATGCAACAGCTAAGTTAATCAGTCCCTCTCATACAAGGTACCACAGAGCTGGAGAGGGAGGAGTGGAGGAGTAGAGTGGAGGAGGTGAGGTTCCAGGACACCTCCTCCCTCTTATCATCTTTCACTGCCCTAGATGCTAGAGATAAGCACCTGTAAAGGATCATCAGGAAGTAAGTTTCTTCTGCTTGAAACTTAATGTTCAGACAAAATGTTTGAAAACATCACCCTAAATTAGGGTTCCTTTATCATTCTGAAACAGTAGGTCAGCAATGAAACCTGACAGTCTGCAGCTTTTTAAAATAGCCACAAGTCATTTCTTGCTAGAATCTGCAAAAACAGTGTCACTAAATGGATGATCTCAAACATCTCCTGTGCCACTTTTATACACCAGTGTAATTTACAGAGTAAAGGAAGCATCAAGTTTCCATGGGAGGGAAGATTACACAGAACAGGCAGCAAAGGTCCAGTCAGAGAAGTCTGGTTAACATCCTTTGTCAAGGACAGAAGCCATCAGAGGATTGCTGGATAAGGTTTTCCTCTTTGATTTACAGCACTGCAGCAGTGAAAAGAGAATGTCCAAAAGACATCAGCTTTAACTACCCTGGGATTAACAAACCCACTTAAAAAGATGAGAGAGACTGAAATCTCAGTGCCGCCTTCCTCTGACAGCCCAGAAACCGTTTGGGGATCCAACCATGGCAGAGCCTTCGAGTATCGCTGAAGAAAGACGATGTCACTGGAAATCACCCCAAAGCTAACAAATGGAAGATCTCTGTCTCTGACTGCTGTGCTCTGGGAAAAAATTAGCTACCTAATTTTAAAAAGCAACATCTCGTATCAAAAATGCTCAACCCTGGACAAAGGGAGTTGGCTCATCCCAGCACAGAGACGGCCAACAGCACAGAACATCAGTGGGTCCATAGAGAGTGGAGACCTGAAACCCCAACACGAATCTTTCCACCACACTAACCAGCAACTAAGGCATCCTTAGGCCATCGGCTGAACCAGTCTATCGTGCATCCTGAAATGAGCGCAGGGAACTTCAAGGCTCGAGTTCGAAATTTCTCCCCCACAGGCGAAAAGCAGAGCACAATGTGGAGGTTTCTTCGGACCCGGCTCATGAAGTAGTCATACAAGTTCTCATTAGTAGGAGGGTGCCTGGGGTGTTCTTTCTTCATCACTGATGTCAAATCGCTATTAATTTCATCAATTTCATCCCGAGCAAATAGGTTGGAGACCTTAAAAAAAATACAGGCATCTATTTTCAGTATGTGGCTTGATAGGTCTAACGTCTTTTCTTCATTTGTGCTCTTAAACTCTTCTTGTAAAAAGTAACTGAAAGTTCTCAAGATGAAAGACCATATTTTAAGACGTATATGTCATTCTTTGATTCACTACAAAATCACAGCTTTCAAAGGACAGAAATGGACACATAAAAAGCTATCAGTTTTCCTCCTGCCCGCCCTCCTATTTTTTGTCTCCACATTTTGATCTGGAGTTTCATTCTTTTAAAATCTAGTTTATAAAGCCATCCTTCACACTGAACACCAAATTCCCAATAACACTTATTCAAAACACTAAAGGAAGAAAAATCAGAAGAGTTCTAACTTTGAGAAATTCTGGAGAGGAAAAGCACACGAATAAGTGACCTCCTACCTCACCCGATGACAAAACGTTGTTCATATATTCCAAAAATGACTCATCTTTAATCTCATTGTCGGTGAAAATAAAAGTGATTCCTTTGCCCTGCTGCCCAGCTGTTCTATACAAAATTTTCAGGTCATCCATCAGATTTGATGTGTTGTAGGATCTAAAGAAAGATTGTCATTATGTCATTCAGTAAAATATTTTCACGAGAAGGAGCATCTTATACTAATGTAATATAATTTTTATTATTTTACTATTTAGCTAACCAAAAAATATTAATTTTGGTCCATCATAGAAGTCTGTATTATACATGAATCTTACCAGTTAACTGATTTTTTTGAACTCCATATTCCATAAAATGTTATAATTAGCATTTTTACATACAAAATGACTAAAGTGAAACTCCACTTGAGGTAAAAAGAATAACTTCTACCACAAGATGTCATTTGAATATTTACATTTATGATCTTGAAAATATTTGGTAATGAACACATTAGCTGGAAATAATAATTAGAATATTAAGCACTGATCTGCAATTGGCATTTTAGAAGACGTCAGATAAACTAACCTAAGCTAAGCAAATTGAAGATTCCATTCAATGGAGAGAAAGAAATAAATGACACCTTCTTCATCCCCCAACACAATTATTATCTGTGCATCTTTAGACTCCATATAAAAGAATTTGTTTCTGAGAAATTAGTGCAGGAGAAGAACTGGAAACATTATGAAATATCCCACTATTGATCTTACACTATCAAAAGCAAGTCTTAACCTATAATTAAAAAATGTTAGAAAAATCTCAGTGAAAATTGGCCCATTACACCAAAAGCATAAATGAAAATATTACAGTCCTGGAGATTCAGAGCTCATAAACTAGTATTTGCCTTCTGTGTCATTAAATAAATTCAGAATCCAGAAAACAGTAGCAAATGGCTGTCTGATTTTTTTCTAAAGCTACTAAATATTTAAATTCAATAGTCTAGCCGGGTGTGGTGGCACACGACTATAATCCCAGCACTCGGGAGGTGGAGGCAGGAGGATCGTTGTGAGTTTGAGACCAGCCTGGGCTACAAAATGAGCTCAAGGCCAGACTGAACTGCATAGCAGGACCCTGTCTCAAAAAGACATACATACATAAATAAATAAATAAATTCAATAGTCTGTCCTTTTTCAACATCTATCACCAAACCCCATAACTGGAAAAACACCAATCATTCATCAATATTTCTAAAAGGTTTCTAGAGCAATGAGATCCAAGAGATTAGAAAGGAAATATCTTCCTTTAAAAAAAAAAAAAAGAAGAAGAAGAAGAAGAAAGAAAGAAAGAAAGAAAGAAAGAAAGAAAGAAAGAAAGAAGAAAGAAAGAAAGAAAGAAAGAAAGAAAGAAAGAAAGAAAGAAAGAAAGAAAGAAAGAAAGAAAGAGAA